GTGTATAAGAGACAGGTTTAATCCTATTTTTAACCATATTTCCTGGTCCACGGTCTGAATGGATTATATGTTACATCATTTATTTTGTTGATATACTGATCTCGACAGACAGTGGAAATAGTTTCACTTTTTTCAAAGAAGTTGATTTCTAGGAACTGATTATAAGATGATAGATTGCTGGAACAATTCACAGACGGAAGAAAAATTATAAAATGATACCCCTTATTCAAAATTTCTAGAATATTACTGGTTAGTTCCATGATAAGTGAAATGAAAAACCGAGCTGCAAAAAAAATCTTAGAGTAAAAGGAAAAGAGAATTTCGAGAAATTTTAATTTTAGGCTAAGATGTGTCGATGTTTGTTGTTTGCGAATATGTGTCATTGTTTAATAAGTCATTGAGTCTATGTCAAGCCTGTATCATAAAATTATGTGTCAATGTTTAAATATGTGTACGACCATACCACGTTTAAAATACGCCATCCCGTCCGTTCTGGCAAGTCAAGCAACGTCGGGCCTGGTTAGTACTTGGATCGGAGACGGCTTGGGAATCCCAGGTGTCGTACACTTTTTATTTTTTTTTATTTTTGAAATTTTCTTTTCTTTCCTCCTGTGTACCGCGTAGATGTAGGAAAAAAATCTTATATGATAATAAGCTCAGAAATGGAGTTAATCGTTAGAGGTCTGCCTCATGCTCATGCTTGCTTGTCCAAAGATCTTGTGAAGCATCATGGTCTGTCTTGCTATATTCTTTGTATATGATTAATTAACTAATATTTTGATGACTGGAGAAGGTGGAATCTTCATTAGATATTCAGAACAAATATGATACAAAAATATTTATTAATCAAGTTATGCGTAGAGCTTTCTGTAATCTTCGATGCAAACTGAATCGTAGTTTTAGAAAATTAGAGCTCCTCACCGGCGGATACAAGTTCAAAAAACTACGAAGCACCTATTTTCCCTCGAAATGTCATGGATCGTTATGAGTTCTTTACGAGAAATATAATTAAGAAACGGTTGTTACACCCATTTCGGTCTACATGAACTTCCTAGCGGCTTGGGGATTCCTGTTAAAGTGCGCACAGTACGACTTGTAGCAGGTGATGTCAGATTGGGTTTCATTTTCTCTCCAGCTGTAGGTACAGTTTTCTTCAATGGTTTAGGTTTTTCTAATGTTTCCAGTGCCTGGATGTTAGTACGTTGATTAACAGAGCCAGTTTTGATCAAAGCAGGTCGTGAACTAGTAGAGACCGATGGTAGTTTCAAATCAACTGAAGAATTATTGCTAGAAGAGGAAGATGAACCAATACGACAGCTAGAAGTAGTTATTGTTGGTCGATTACTTGAATAGGCAGAGGTAGATGGTTTTCTAGAAGCAATGAATGAATTTTCGGAAATTATAATGAATCGTACCTTAGTACACTTGGTTTAGGAGCAGACTTATCAGTTGATAAATTCTTCCTGACTAATTTGGGATTTAGCGGAGTTTTTAATGTGGCTGACATCGTTGTTGTTGAAATAGCTCTCTGTACGGCCATACTATTTCTGCGTGGAGAAGCGAAGGTATTATTGGGTTTAGGAGAAATTTTAGCGACGTTTGGTGGATTAGTTTTCTCGGCGAGAGGTTGACGGAGCTTACTACTGCTTGCGTTTCTGGAAAGCTATTATGAAATTTGACAGAATTGAAACTTCTTACGCAATCTTAGTAACGGAAGCCTTTTCAGTGGGACGATCCATCCTTTCTTTGATTTGCTGTTTCATTGTATCAACATCTTTTTGCTTTTGTAGAGGTGTCCTCTGACTTCTTTTAGCAAGTTGACTCGTCGCAGTTCCTTTCGGAGGAGAAATCTTTGATGTGATGGGCGAGGTTGTTACTGATACCAGTCGCGGTACCTGATACAATACTTTATAAAACCTCATTCTTCTTCTGATCAAACCTTCAATAATCTTGTTGATTTCTCCTCTGTTCCGTTAGAAGAGCTGGCTACCTAGAAGCACAACGTTATACGGAGAAATATAAATTGAATTTACTTTTGATGATGTAGCTTTCTTTTCTTCAGAAAGAGTCCTTGGAGAGGTGTTGTTCTGTGAAAAAGAAGTTGATCTCAATGTCATTCAATAACTACTATTACCAGAGAATCTTTATCCTTTTCAGATTCGAAGCCTTCATCAGATGCGCTTTTCGGGGAGGATCCAGGTGTCGAAACGCAACCGTCTAATAAAGAAAATTACAAATATTTTGATAAACAGACAACACCTGATTCACTTGGAATACTGACTGATATACTATCTTCCACTTCTGTACTTTCAGGAATCGAGTTGTTCTTTTGAGGAATGCCACATCCCTATAAACATGCATAAACATAAGCACAAGGTGTATCATTCAAACCTGAAGACTTTGAATGTAATCAGTAAGATCACTCGTATTCTCATAGTGTACAGATAGACGAGGTCGTCGAACAAATCGAGGCATCTAAAAAAGGAATATATATAAACAGAGGGAGAGTTCTCTTACATCGGGTGAGAGCAGGGTTTTGTTCTCACTCTCGCACATAGTTTTATCAGCTTTTTTCTCTTCAGAGTCTGCGTCTCGGAATATCTTGCGAAGTTTGCTCTCTCCGTCAGCACGCTCTCTCGCTTGGTCAAGAATATTTCGTTGTGAACTACGTCTTCGAGACCTATAATATACTGAGTAACTTATACTTTTATTCTCGTGGGTTCACCATGAAGTATGTGATCCAGCTTCTAAAGTCTGGTACAGCAATTGCTGTTGACCATACGATTCCGATCTTTGGAAAGAATCCGGATTTTCTTTTCCCTCGCGTGTCAAAGAATCTTCATGATGAAGAATGACGTGAGACTTTTTCGCAGCTCGTTCTTCACGTTCTTTATTTTCCTGAAAATTGTCTAGAAAGTGAAAAAGAATAAACACAATGAGTAAACCTGAACAGCTACGTGTAATCTTTTGATGAAATTATTGAAAATCATCAGACACTCATCTAGTTTGAAATTTTTCGGATTTTCACAAAAGTAATTAGCGAGATGCTCTGTTTTCTCCAAAAGTTCCTCTAAAGAACTGGTGGCTGCCCTCATCTGATCTTCAGCTGATGTCTGTAGTAAAGCAGAATAGATATCAAGTTTGTATATGTAGTCGGCATACATTGATGAAGTTCAAAGTATCTTCAAAGGTTTCTTCCTTGCGGTCTTCCAATATCTTTTTGAGCTTATTTCCTTGATCACCTAACTGTCTAAGACTGGATTTCAGCTCTTCCGTAGATATTCTTAATCAACACATTACTCACAGACGACAAATTTCAAACTCACAGCGTAGCTTGTTGGATTGTAGACAGCTCACTCTCTAAATCACTCAGCAAATCTTGATCCATCTACAGACAAAAGATAACCGGAATCTCATTCATCGTAAACTGACCTTAGCAACGGCATGAAGTAAGGTTGAGCCACCTTTCGCTGCTTTCAAATCTATCATTTTCCATAAAGAGTTTAACTTGAAGCCAGCTGCATTGCCATGAGCTGTGGATCCATTCAAATAATTTCCAATATTCACTAACACCAGCAACAATCTACGTAAAGCTTCAGATTCCGATAATTCTAAAAGAGAGGGGATAAGTGAGTCAGATGTGATCATGACTATTCATACCTGTACATGTTTTTAACAAAAGATTCAACTGTGGCACTGTTTCCTCTATAACCCGTGTAAACTCGGAACGATATAACATACAATCGATTCTGAAGATAACTACACTGTCTTCGTTTCAATGTTTATCATGGTCGTTACCTTAATGAGTACTCTGATATATTAAGAATTTGAAGAAAAAATGAACAAGGTGGTGCCAACATATTAATGTCTCCAGAATACCTTTGAAGAGCTTCAATCTGTAACAGAGGTTACTTTAATGTAATGACTGCATTGACTCACCTCATCTGTGTCTGGTAGGATGCTCTTAAGCGTCTTCAAGGTTTCTGCCTCAAACGCTTCATGATTGTTCTGTTGTAGATTAGTTATTAAGCCGTCCAAATCCTATTGAATGACAAATCTTTAAGAACAATACCCTATCATGAAAGTAACCTTAAAGCGTTTCAGTGTAATTGAAACATTCTGACTTCTTTTCGGAGATAGTAAGTCCACAACAGTATCTTTTCGCCGATTCTAAAACAAACGCATTACACACAACCGTTTCCGACAAAGCAGTGAGTGAAATAAAAAATTTTAGAGTGAGATATGACGTATATATGATTATGCTAATTTTTACCGTAGAAGCTGTAGGCTCTTGAACAGATTGAGCGGGCGCGGCAAGTGAAAACATTCCTTCAATCATTTCGAAATCCAGGGAGAAACCTAGGATATGGTTTTATGTAATATCGTTTGTTGATTTATGTCCAACCTCTGGATTCATTAGCCAATCGGCTCCAAACGCTGTCTTTCCCTTCTCCGACGACTACACTTGGTGCTAACTTCGACCACTGAAAGAGTGATGTGTTCTAGGTCTCATGCGGTACACGTACCATCAATGTTTTCATTTTTAATGTTTTGTCTGGAACTCTCTTCGGCTTCATAGACTCTGGTAGTTCTATCTTCGGTTGGTTTAGAGTGAATGATTTGCCAAAAGCTGGAGGAGGTGGTGGTGGTGGCAGACCTGGTTGACCAGAAACTACAAATAAGCAATGTAATGAAAATGTATACTAGTTAACCGAACCATTGAAGATAGGTGGTGGAGGTGGAGGTGGAATATTAGACATAGGTGTTGATAATGAATTAATTGGCGGTGGAGGCGGAGGAGGGGGTGGAAGGTAAGGCTGAGTAAGTAGAGAAGTTGAGGAATCTGGAATTTCATTCTCTTGAATCATAGAGCCTGATCCAGAATCATTCTGAAAATTTGATGAGTTTTCGATAATAAATAGTGGATAAACAAACCATTTCGGATAATTTATCGTCGATTGTTTCTTCGAAATCTCTTATCTCTTGCTCTTTCTTTTGCTTTTCGTCAATATCTTGTTGCTCTTCCTCTTCTCTTCCTCCTCCTTCTTCTTCTTCTTCTTCTTTGTCGTCGTCGTCGTCGTCTAGCTCTTCCTCTTCAGGTATCGTGTTGTGCGATATCAGCTGTGTTTCGCCGTTCTTCTGTATTTGTCGCCAAATATTGATTTCAGCAAGAATGTCCTGTTCACAGTTTTTATTGTTCCTAGAAATGAAAAAGCAATCATAAACTATTTCTTCCTTTTCTCATCTTTCATTGCGTATGCAAGAAAGTTGTCAAGAAAATTATTGTTAATCATCTTTCACATTCATCATTCCATTATTTTCATAAGAAATCGTAAAGCTCATGAAAACATATGTTTTGCCTTCACTTCCTCTCCTTCCTTTCATCTCATCTTCCTTCTATATGATTCTCTACCAAAAGCGTTACTCTTCGAAGATTCATCTACATATCTTGCTGAGGGAAGCTAGACGTTTAAGACTATCAATGAGTTTAGAGGAAATGAATTGGTGGCGGAAAGAAGAAAGGGAGGCTTCATGGAAGGTACTGATAGTATTAGCTTCAACTGATAGAGCTGATACACAGGAACATCAATCGGGGTTTGAAAACTTCTGTTTGATTAATATGTTTACAAAACATATTTAATAGCTAATTGCTCAATTATTAGGAAAGAACAAGTTGTTGCTTCAAGAAAATGAAATTGTAAGAGTTGATGTGATCTTCCTTATCTTATGAAATAGAGCACAACCGTTCTCACACGAGTTATAACGAAAAATAAAATTTGCGTGGGTTTCACGTAAGTTTCACGTGAAATTGATCAAACTCAAAGAACTTACGTCAATTGATGCAAGCAGCTCTCGTATTGTAACTCTGAAAAAGAAAAAAATAATTTTTCAATTAAAAATACTTGAAAAGAAATATAAAATACAAGATTGGAACGTATTGTTGCAGACAGGTAAGCTTGAATGCATGATGATGATATGGCTACGATAGTTGTTGACGAAGCTCTTACTTGAAGATTCAATAAATACCCCCCAAGCTATTCGCGATGGACAGGTGAGGATTGAGTATAAACGATCATTTTGTGAAAGACAAAAAAAAAGAAACAAACGTTCCAGTTTCATGAAAATCAAATAATTTCTGATAATTAAGAAGAAGCAGGGGAGGAGGAGAAGTAGGAGGAGGAGGAGAAGACGGCTGACGGCATCTCTTCATCATCATCTCAGCTCATGAAGAGAGCAGATCAAGTTAGATGATTGAGATGAAAAACGATTATGAAGAGATTGAATGAGAACCATCTGATAGTTATAATAACAATGAAGATGAATTCATTTTTCTTTCTCTTCACAAACGAACATGGTGATGATGTCATTCGTTAACATCATCTACACATGGAGGTCTAAGATTGGTTGGGACATAACCAAAAGAAGAGGCAAAGAGAAGGACCTCTGACTCATGTTCATAGTGACAACTAATGTGAAAATGAAAAAAAAAATTCAAAAATAAAATAGTAAAATATGAAATTTCAGGTTGTTGTATGTGTTTGTATCATTGACTACGATTGTTATTGACTTTGAGAAGTAGAAGATGAACTCATCAACATATGAATGCCATACGGATTAGCCGATCCTTATGAAAATTTACGTAAAAACTCATTGGAACGTTGTTCAGAGAGAAGAAGAGAGAGAAAGAGAAATAGAGAGAGATAGAGGGGGAGAGAGAAAGGGGAGAATGAATAGAGGTTACATAGGATATGAGATTTGAGGTGAGGTAGAGAGGAGAATGAAAGTTGAAGATAACATAGATGGAGTAGTAAACAAGTAAGACAACTAGCAACCCTCATAAAGGTCAAACTAAATAAAAAAGTGTTTTAAAACTAATTTTTGGAAACGGGCACGAAGGAGCACCGTGAGTGTTGCAATGAAACACGAAACTCGGCTTCAAATCACGAGAATATGAATCAGCCGTATGAGGAAGAAAAAACAAAAATCTTCAACGGTAAAGGAAAAGTAGCCGAAACATCTTTTTATTTTTAGTTTTGTTTATATTGTGAGAGAGAGAGAGGGGAGGAGGAGGAGAGAGAGAGAGAGAGACAATCCAACGAACCTTGTAATTCATGTAGCATCCGAAACAGACGAGTCGGGTCAGATGTTTTCAGTAGAAGTTTATTGACCAATCGTAGTGATAAACATATTATTTCATTATCGTTTTCCTTCAAACACTCTAATAGAGGTGTGAATGGGGATGCTGATGAATCAATGAAATCCTTATAAGCCATAGATATTGTATATTCATTAGGGTTGATTAGCTTACCTGCCATGTGGTGATGCACTCGAGTACCAACGTATCTCCCTCTTCATCATCATCTAGGGTTAACTGAAGAAGGGACAGTGCTTCGACAATGGCTGAATCTGTAAAGACATTGACACTGAACTTTGGTCTGAGCAAGAACATACCAAATAAGTGTCGAATAAACTGACTCTTCAGATGGTTTGTCATTTGATTTTGAACATTTGGTGAAAACGAGCTGAAACGATGATGAGTAAGAGGATGATGAAGTTGAGAACAATAGAAAATCATAATGAGAGTTAAAGGTGCGAATAATTGGCTGTTGCATAACCTATTTGAAACGGAAGAAGGAAATTAAAGAGATCTGGTTCGAGTGTTTGTCCTCAGACACAATACTTTGACAGCCACGTATGACGTCGATGAGACGACCATTTTACGAAATGCATAACTAATAGTATAAATTAAGAGATGAGATGATTGAAAAAAAGGTCTGAAAGTCTTTGAGAAGCCTATATCTCTCTCTCTCTCTCTTATTACATCTCATTTGCATAACAAACTGATTGTGAAAGGGTTAGGAGGGAGTATAGAGAGAGAGAGAATGGATCAGTGAACGGATAGGATTGAATATGATATGAGTTCTTATTTCTTAAGTATGAATGAGAGAGAGAGTACCAACCATATAAACAACTCATTCGTATTCCCATATAAGGATAATCTGAGAATCGAGGATGTCTTCTTTTTTCAAATTATTTTAACTATAGCTTCCCAAAATTTGCATACGAAACTCTCACACGTATGGGAAACGGCCATAAAAGGTAAAAGAGATGAAAGGAGCCCTAGCTATATGTATAGTTAGATATGATGGAACAAAAAAAAAGAAAAAGTCAGATAAATATTGGGAGAGAAGAATAGAAAATGCACAAGTTGAGACCAGTTATGAACGTTTGTTGTAGCTGTCATATCGTAAAGCCTAAATGAATTTGCATATGACGCGCTCTATTCGACTGATGAAACGATAGTAAAGAAGACCATTCAAGGCAGAGAAGAAGAATGGTTTATAGTTATCTGAAGTGTTATACCATATGTGATACTTAACACTCATATTCCCATTACGGATATGAAGCTTTCAGCGTCATCTTGAGCTTCAAAGAGATTTTATGGAGACGAGCGGAAAAGATGAAAGAGTACATCATCAATATGCTAACTGTAGAATAGCTTAAAGTTGAAAATCCATCTTCTCGCATTGCGCTTTTTGAGACTTCTGACTCTTCTCACTCACTCTCTCTCTCTCTTTATCTGACTCTTTGAATATTCTGAAAACTCTCCTTCACATACGAGATATGCTGTCGACTTAAGGACTCACTATGTAGAACTATCACAGAAAAAAACCTTTTATGGTTGCATAAAAGCTGTTTTGAAAAAGTGTGAATTACGAGAAAGTGGCACATATAAGGGTATGAGAGAGAGAGAGAGAGGGAGAGGGGGGGGAGAGAAAGAGAGAGAAAACAGAAAAACCATCTATGAGAATAAGGCGAATTGGATTTATAGCCTTAGGATGATACATTGAAAAACAAATAAAAAAGAACCAAGTTCCCATGGAATACTGTCTGTTTGACAGTTTAGAAAATCAAGAGTGTTAGGAGTTGTTTCCGCTTATGGAAGACTCAAGAGAACGTTTGTAGCAAAGAGGGAGATAGAGGGAGAAGAGGAGTAGAGGAGGGGGGGGGGGGG